AGAAAAGGCACTCCTTCATGTGCCCGAGAAAAGGCGACATCTCTTTTTTAAGATGGTGCACAATGCATAGTTTGTCATGCATAATATTTTCTTTTACAAGAAGCTACTCCCTGATTAATTGTTGATCCCTTTGCAAGCAATCCAAAGTTGCAATGATTGACTATGGCAATTAGCAGAGCAATCCTATGGTGGGGTGGTGGAAAATCCGTTGCATGAGAGCCACCAGCCTAGCAATGGACGGTTTGCCAGCAGCCAGCGTTGACCGTTCTCCTTCCACTAAGAGAGGGAGTGATCTGCAGCATCCAGCTGCCCTGGGACACCCCCTCCCCAGCAACTTCAGGATTGCAGGCTAAATTCTTCCCCCTGATTAAAAGTGGGTCATATTCTATGGATGCCCCCTCCCATTCGCCAAGCACACCTTCTTCCAGCCATACCAGTTATCGGCGAGAGACCAGTTTGATGTGGGAAAAGGAGCAGGTTTCCCACCTTTTCTCAATTAAAATAACTACAGAGGAATGCCTTTTGCCACTGTGGCATTTGCTGGCTCCCGCTTCCTTCCTCGGCAATACACGTAGCCTTGCTTGGAGACCAGGTGGAGCGCTGGCAACCTGTGCAGCTGTCAGCACTTGAGGCGTGCCCTCTGTTTTTGAGGTGGTTAGCCAGACATGACATTAGTGTTCTGGGGAGCAGGGCTTTTGCCCCAGTCTCAGTTGAGGCATCACCGGGGCTTTTAAAGAAGTAGTAATTTCAGATGAGGTTGCTGAGCCAGAAGGACCAGCAAAGCCAGCACAGACAAGACCAGTCCTGCCCCTCCTTTATTTTGCCTTTACTGCTTTGACGATTGTAAGTAGCCAGGCCTCTCATTTGGAATCTGGACTATGTTGTATAACACTCTGAAGAATGAATGGAGCACATGGGAAACTCTACCAAAGGACTCCACAGAAATGAGTGAAAATGTCTGTAAACAGGAAAGAATTCAAGGGAAGGTGTGTTTTTCTGTTACATAGGAAAAAGAGCAAGGACCCAACTGCAAGAATAGCTGGTCCCAAGCATTTTGAAATCATGACACACTTAGGTAACAGTTTGTGGAAGTTGCTTTTCTTTGAACAGTTTTCCCTTTGTTTATGAAGAAAAGTATTTCTGTATATATTGTTGGAGAAAGCAATACACGAAAGTCACACCTTCTTTTGGTCGGGAGAAATCCTGCTGTGTGTCCACTATGATAAAGAAAGAAGGAAGGACACTGGGGGAGGTTGTGGATGACCCAGCTGCTTCTGATGGGCAAATACCCCTGAGCGCCGCCCACACCAGCAGGGTACCTCTGGCAGTAAGTAATGCATGGACTCTGCCCAGTAAACTGGCTCTGTGCTGTATTGCCTTGCAGCACGTTGCAGACAACAGAGCAAATGCTGATCTGCTTGTTTTAAAGCAGCGGTCCCCAACCTTTTGAAAAAAAGGGATAGGCCTGCCCCGCCCCCTCACCTCAATCCGCCCGCTCCCGTTGGTCTAAGCCTCTGCCATTCCACCTCTTTTATTGGAGTGCATGCCCTGTGTCCCAGCCACAGTTCACACGTGCTATTGGATACTTTTGGTTGAAGGGCAGCTCACGTCGTTGTCCCACTGGAGAAACAAAGAGTCTGTCAGAGAAGCTTTAGCCTATTTGAAAAAGATTGGGCTGAGTTGGTCAGAGCACTCTTGACGTCCCGCCTCCTTCTCTTGCACCTTAGTGCTTATGGCAGCCCACGAGCGAGAGGAGGAGGAAATGATGGAGGTTATGCTCACAGATGGCGCTTCCGTCACTCACCCGCCACCCACCTCCTGCTGTGCGGCCTGGTTCCTAACAGGCCACAGACCTCTATCAGTCTGCAGCCCAGGGGTTGGGGACCCCTGTTTAAAACAAAGGCTTGATTGGCTTCTCATGGTATAGAAGGAAGCAGTGCCGGGCTGAAGTCCAAGGGCTCTTTCCCAAATCCTTTGGTATAGACAGCACATGGGATATCATATATATACCTTCACTGTGATACATGTGGTCTATGGTGATTGCATGATATAATCTCATTATCACCACATGCAAAAAATAGCTCTTATTCCCCAATCTGCAACCTAGAGGCAGAGCATAATAAAGCACTGAAAGGGAGCAGTCCTTAGCAGTTTTTTTGGGGGATGGGGTAGGGGACTACGCCTGTCATTTCAGATTTTAGGTGACTGGTTAAATAACAGCAGGTTGGGGAATTGTCAAGAGTTTCTAGTTTGAAATATTCATAGCAGGAAAAAAGCCTTTTTGCCTTTTATAACAAGGTTTAAAAAACCTGTTCAGTGTCATGCCTCAGGGATTCTGTTACATCTGATTTGGAATGAAACATGAAAATATTCAGAATTTTGTTGTTGTTCCTCCCTCAAGTCATTTCTGACTTACAGTGACCCTATGAAAGAGAGACCTCCAAAAACTCCCATTCAAGACAACCTTGTTCAGTTCTTGTAAATATTCAGAATTTATCCTGTATTGAATTAACTCAGTATCATCAACCACTTAACGCATATGGAGGCCATTTGCTCTCTTGGCAAAGGTAAGATGGAGAAAATCTCCATCAAGGTAAAGATGAAGAAAATCTGAAAAACAGGCAATATCTGACCTTTTATCAATCTGTATTTCTTCTCTCTCTGCAAGTTGGATTGTGCCTAGATGTGTGCATTTTTGGTGTTCATCATAACCAGTGTGTATCGTGGGCCGCTCACAACTGGTGCTCCCAGCCACCCATGATGCCCAGACTGGGAACTGATCTTCCATAACATAGCATGCCACAGACTCTCTTCGGCAGGCTGGGAAGAAACAATCTGTTTTCTGAGGCACCAACAGCACAAGGATACAAACATTTCAACAGAAGTGATTCCTGCCACTCCCAGAATTCCCCAACTAGCCAGACTGGGAACTGTGAGACTTCTTTCTGTCTAAACATGCATAGGATTGTGTCTTAAAAGTTTTTCCGTGAAGGAAACGGTATGATCACACCTGCCACCGTACAGAGGCCTAGATAATGACATAGTGCAGAGTGTGGCTTGTATCTTTACAAATCTGGGGAAGTGGGTGGAGGGGAAGAGGGAAGATGGCTGACGGCCGGTGGCACCGAACTAGAATGAATGTCTACGGGCTTCTCATGGCATGTAGCAAACTGAAATCAGAACTGGTCTTGAGATGATCTTTTAGGATACCTACTGTCAGAGAAATAAAAGTGAGAGCATGTAGATAGAAGGAAAAAGGAGGTAATTTTGCTAATTGATGAAAAGAAAAATAACAGAGCTTTGGAGGTCTTAGTCATTGTCTGAAGGCAAAGCTAGACATGATGTTATCTCGCTGTTTGACCTTGTGTGGCTGTTTTTTTTTTTAATGAATAGCTGGCCCTGTGGGGGTAATTTGGACTGGTGCTCTAGTTTCCACCCTGGTCACAACCCTACTCTAGCTTGCCCCTCCCCTGGCCCCCACTATGCCAACTCTTTGTTTTTGGAGCCTGCATATAGAGCCCTAGGATGGGAATAAAGTTGCACCCATTTTGGCTTGGGTTAAAGGAAAGGTGATGGGAAGCAAACTGAAGTGATGACTAACGGAACAAGGGCCAAAGAAGGTGCCTGAATGTCTGAATGTCTGAATGTCACGGATCTCAACCCGTTGCACCTGTGTGCTTGGGAAACTCACTGCTTGTGCAAGGGGGCACTTGCAGTTATAAGCATACAGAAGCACGTGTTCTGGAATGGGCCAGATGAGCTGAGCTCACAGATGGGAGCTCTGCCGCTATGCCCTGATTTGGGAGCATGTGCTTCTGTTCATTGCTGGCATTATAGAGGCTAAAAAGCTCTGTTGTGCCAACAGTGCCTCCTGCGATTACACTGGAACGAGTGTTACATCCTCAGCACAGTCTGATACAGCCCATGGTGCTAAATATGAGAAAGGGCCTGATGGAGGGAAGCAGTAGAGAGACAAGTGCAGGAAACCTAGGAAAGGTAGCTAGCAGACAGGCTGCTGAAGACTTTCATTTTGGTTACATTTGATTGCCATTTGTTATGTGAAATATTGTAAAAGAAATTTGAAAAATCAAGGTTGAAATGCATAACAACTTTGTTATGGTAAGCATATAGTTACTGAACAGCTGAGTTTAGTGAAAAATGGGACTAGGTGTTTGTATTTTTGCCTGACATTCTGTTTTTTGTCTATTAAGGCTAGGGTTGCTGGTCTGAGGAGTGGCATTTTAACGCAACCATTCTCATTGGTCTCAAAGTCCAGAGTCACATCTGATATTATTCCAGGGGTGGGAAACTTGTGACCTCCAGCTTTTTTGACCCACCACCACATTTTGGTACTGCCTTTAAAAGTGGCCTAGAAATCATTTTAGAGAAATAGATCGCTTTCCCACCATTAACCCTGGTAGTGATGGCTAAGGCTGGTGGAAGTTCCAGGCCAAACCATCAGGAGGGCCACCGGTTGCCCACCCTTGCGCTGCTCCATGTACAGTCCTGAACCTGCAGACAGACCCATGGTGCCAAGCACATTTGTTCCCGAATTGGCGGCTGCTCCCTCCCTCACCCCATGCAGCAGGCTTGGGTGTACTTGAAACAGCTGTTCTCCAGGCAGGCTACTGGCTCTGATTTCAGCAAGTATGTGGTACATGAATGTGTTTGGGCAGGGAGGGAGAATGGGGAGTGCATGTTTTTTGCCTGGGGGATTAAATATTGTGCTCATTCTGAAGAGCTTTACCTTAATTTTTAGTTACTTGATTTTTACACTGGCTTTTTAACATGGCCTAGCCAAAGTTAAGGCATTTTTAAAACGTCCACTGATTTCATAGGAGGCAAAAAAGCACACAGTTAGCTATCCTGTTAAAGCCAATAGAACTTAAAGATGTTTAACATTTGCTGGTTTGTTTCCTGTAGATTTTGTCTTTATGCTGCAATCCACTCTTGCAAGAAACAAGTTTAAGCAATAAAATAAAAGACAGAATGCAGAAAGATTTAGTATACTTTTAACTTTATTGACCTATTCAAAACCATAGGTCTTTAAAAAGTCAGGTGCAGTAAAAGAATAAAGCAAAAAAGTTTTTGTTTCTAAAAGACTATACATATATGCACAAAAGAAATAAATTATTTTTTTTCAATTTTCCATGTTTATTCCAAACTCTAATAATACAAATGACTAAGGACCAGCTTGACAAATTTGGAATCTCTCTCTCTCTCTCTCTCTCTCTCTCTCTCTCTCTCTCTCTCTCTCTCTCTCTCTGTATACAATTATCTTACATGCTTTAGAATTATCAGTAAAAAAAGATCCATTTTTTTCCAGAAACATTTCTATTCACAATATGAACAAGGAGTGATGTGTCCTATGTTAAAAAAAGATCCCCAAACAGCACCATTGTATAGAATCCTGAAGTTGAGAACAGGTGAGAAACAAAAATATAGTTTTACAGTCTGCAAATTTACACTAGGTAATTGTAAGCTAATTTGTTCCTACAGGTAGGTGGTATGAGGTAGGCTAATCCCTCTTAGGAAAACAAACCTGCAGTTGATTTTGCACCAAAACCAATATTCGAATTCACTGAAAACTTGGTTGTCCTGATCTATAGGACTCAATCCACACATGGAAACAGGCATTGATTCCTGAATTAGATACGTGGATTCCAGAGCAGGGCAGACACACATTTATTTAGGAACGGAATCACAAAACGTTGTTCCTTACTGTCAGACATCAATTTAGTTCAGCCTCTGGTACATCTTTCCTGCAATTTCTTTCTTCTGACCGACTGATGATCCACACTGTTCACATCTGGAAAATGGGTTAACTCCAGGAGAGCTGCCACACAATAATCCTCTGCTGTGCTCCTCAGTTCTTCAGCTGAACGGTGTAACTGCTTTTCGGAAAACTCATTTTACTCTTTTAATGCCCTTTGATTTTAAGGCACCCATTTGGTATTATATTTGCATTCATCTTAAAAGAGAGAATAATACTGGCCAACATGAACCAAATTGTTGAGTGCATTAGATCGCTTGTCGCACTGGAAGTTTTCTTTGTTGCACACTTGTCGAAACCGAGGATGCCTCCAGTCGTAGCACCACCAAGCAAACAGAAACATGCAGCTATCTGGCTTTTCTTCCTTAACATTTGTTTGTTTGTTTTGTGGAAAGAAAAAGGATGGAAGAAACAGTGGGAACTTACAGGAGGATTACAAGTGGAAGACATTGTTGTTTGGAACCCCAGTAGAAATCCATGAATGAGGCAAGGCGATTGCACAATAAAGGCATTGTCTGGAAGCACCCCAAATACTTTTTCAGTGCATTTCCACATTCAAACAGCATGCATCCTTGCATAAATGGAAACATACCACAGGAAAAGTGTGAAAAATTACATGTTTAAAACATCTTAAAATCTGTTTGCAGCTGCCTAATCCCACGTCCCCCAAAACAACCACTCTGCAGGCTGTTTTATCTGGTACACTGCAGTGTGCAGCCGCTCTCTCCTTCTGGCATTTCCCTCGTGCTTACATTCAGGACAGCACACCTTAAAATACCTTTAACCTCATTCAAAATACTGTACGAAAACCTGACCATCCTTCAAGTAGTGCTGCAGCTGAAAGTCAACCTTCTGCTCCATTCACAGGCTCATGTATCCTTCAACAGATGACAAAAACATCGGCAGGAACTGTGGCAGGAGGGACTCCAACACTGCAATTCTCCCTCTCTCTCTTTCTCTCAATTGTGCTCCTAAAATTGTCACAAGATTCTCCTTTTCACATTTTTGGAAGTTTCTAATGGCAACAGCATTCTATCTTGTAAAAAAAGTGCTTTGCAAAAATACTTCAGCCAAAAGTTGCATTGTGTGATAGGAGATTTACGTCAACATTCCCCTTCCGTGTTGGAGTGACTTGGATTTATTACTATTGTGCTAGCCTGGATGAGATCTTGCAGCTTTTCGCTCGCTGAAGGCATTCTATCTTCCCATCCTGGTCCTCCTTTTTGAGTTGTTCCTGGAAGCCTGTTTGTGTAGGAACAGTGTAAGGTGCAAGGCACGTGGGGTTATAGAAGCAGAAGAGAGGTTCATACTAAAGTCCCAGGCTTCGAATCCTCATGCCACAACAGCCTCTGCTCGCTCTCTTGCAGATCGCCTTCCAACTGGTTCCTCTCATTACTACCCAATGGGCTGGACTCAGCATACATCCTGTAAGACAAGTATGGGCATCACTGACGTGCAAGGTGAAGTAGGATTTCAGCTGCTGCACTAGCATGTGCATGAGTGGACACAACAGCCCTCGTCTTCAAAGTGGTGCCTTTAAACTGCAATCAACAGTTCATGTTTTCAGCTACAGACTGTGTGCCCCACCAACATTTTGCAACACAAACAGTCATTGAATACAAATTCAAAACAGCATCTCGGCTTGAATTTCTATCCTAAAAAAATCAAGTTACAACATACTTGTAAAAACAGACTAGCAAAACAATAATTTTGATTTTGTATGTTATGGAGACTGAAAGAACAGAAAATATACAGCAGCAGTCCTATGGCAGTGGGGGAGCTCTGTACATGCAAGAGAAACTTCTCCATTGCCATTAATTTATATTATTTATTTATACACATGCTTATCCTGCGTTTTTTCCTGCCAGGCACTCAAGGCAGCATACACAATCCTCACAACAACCCTGAGAGGAGGGTTAGACTGATAGTGAGTGATTGGCTCGAATTTACTTACTGAGTTTGACAGCAAAGTGGAATCTAGCTCTCCTTAGTCCCAGTCTGACACTTGACTGCTACAGTAATGACAAACGAAAGCACCTTAGGAGTGAAAGAAGCTCCATAGTCCAGAGCTGGCAGTAGGAGGTTTAACCATTCAGTGGCTGCATTTGGAGGCAAAGCTAAACTATGGTCTATTGTGTAAATGAACCTCAGGATCATGTATTTCCTTCTCCTCTTTCCTCCTTTGGTGCAACATTTGGGAAGCATTTATAACTAACTTCAGTTTAGTATTATGTCCAAACCCAGAAAAACTGTGGTTGATCTTAACTATGGTTTACTGAAATGAGCAGTTTATGAAGAGCTTATTTCCATAAAGCTTGTTTCAATAGTCAAGATTAACTACAGCTTGAGTTTGGAAGTAATGCTAAACTGCAGTTAATTGAAAATAGCAAAATAGCTTTGGGAGTCTTTTCCCCAACTGCTTCAGAGGACAAAAATGCTTTCAAGATCAAGATTCAAGATCAGTTTAGCCATAATTCAGGTGTATGTCCAAGCCAAACTATGATCACCTTCAAGTCTTTGAAATCCAACGAGTACAATCAGGAAATTAGTAATAAAGCATCAGAATATTATTTTAGCCACTCCACTGAAAACAAGTTAAGAACTGCAAGAAGTTTAGTTAAAAATCAACTGCAGTAGCTGATACAACTTTGTAAGGGTACCGTCTGTCAAAGCAAGCAAAGGCTAACGTCTCGCTGGACAACTTCACACAAGCCTGCTCTGCGATAAGCAAAGGAAACAGCAGCCGGCTCAGTACAAACCACGACACAAAATGGTACTTACTATGTTGAGCTGGCTGCATTTAGCCCAAGATTATTTAAACATGATCTCATTCTTGCAGGCACATGCAGTGCCCTGGACAGAAGGCCTTTGTTCTGGTAGGTGACAGGTGGAGATAAGAAAATGAAAAGAGGGGCAAGCCCAGAAGCAGAGGCCAGGAAAGGAAGCAAAAGAGCGGCACAACGAGACGACTGGCAGTGCTGCTCTCTGCTAGGTTACCTACTACTGCCAGAACTGCCATGAGAACAAGGCTGTAAGAGTGGCGATCGGGCATTCGAAGCTCCTGCACTGCGAATGCCGCCCCCCTGCAAAGGCCAATTCACATGAGCAAACAGCCATGCGGAACATGGAGCCTGCACAGGGTCACTTGGTTCAGCCAGTCACATGGCTGAGGCGCGGACCTGCACAGCAAAGAGCCAAGCACCCGTGACTCCCTGTTCCCTGTACAGAAGGTCTCAGAAGTCACCAGACTCAAGACTTTCAGCTGTGACTTGGGTGGCTGCTGCAGGAATAAAACAACATGTGCCTACTTAATACTGTCCGCTTACAGCTGGTTGCATGCTGGAGGCAGTGACAGACCTCGAGAAATGTGAGGAGAGTGCTCTGCACATACACCAGAGGAGCATAAGGGACGTGACAGCAGGCCTAGGGATGGCGCCTTCACATCTCATCAACTTTCTGCATGCGGCAGGAGGGCCACGTGCGCCTCCCTCTGCACCACGCAATGGAATCCGTGACTGTGAGCACTGCCTGTGCAGAAGCAGCTCGTACTTTTCAGTAGCATAAGCAGGAGCAGTTTTGTTGGTGTCCTTCATTAACAAATAGACATGCATCCCATTTCTCCTGCCCAGCCTGCTCTTTCTTCTTTAACCTAATCTCTGCACGCAGATGGCTCAACCTGAGAGATGCTGCATATGCAAATAAACACTAACAGTCACTATCCAATGATGCACCGGCACCGCATCATGGAACAGGATCTTGCGTCACGCATTTCAGATTTCCAGAGCACTGGACAGTGTTGTAGGCTGATCCAGAAATGCAACTGATTGGCATCAGACTCTAGATAAGTGCGATTTTTCCGGTCTCTGAATCGGTGGCAGGGGACCGGCAACCTGGACTGCTGTCATGCAAGCTCACCAGGGGACCAGTATTTTCAGGGACAGGTTTAGTGAGATAGATGTTATCCATAGTCCTTATGCTGCTTCTCTGATAGACACTCTCATTGCAGTAATGAATTTCTGGTGCAATGCAGGTTCAGCACAACAGACTAAAATCTATGGCTAAGGCAATGCCCTGCACACTTCAATCCATAAAGCAACATTCCTAAGAAAAAACTGAATATTCTGATGGTCCCTGCCTTACAAATGTAGATTATTTAGTGAACACCTATACTGCCCAATAGCTAAAGCTCTCTGGGCAGTGTACAGCAGTTCCTAAACAGGATACACTAAAACTACGATAGCAACTTTCCATAATACAAAATATTTTTTACAAGTTTTAGATGTTAAAAACAATGTAGCAGCCAATAGACTTGTTTAAAAGTACCAGATGTATGTACTCCACAAAGCTGTTTGGTAATTCGAATGTTTCCAAAATTTTCACAAGCCGTAGATGCCCCACAAGGTAAATTAGCATGACACACGGACTGCACAAAACTTACCTGCTCTGCAGTGAGTGGCTGCCATACACATTCCCATAAGAGCTGGCATAAGAGGACTGAGACAGTGTGTCGTAATCAGAAAATCTTGGTGAAATCTGATTTCGCCAGTTCCCAGAAGATGCTAAAAGGAGCAGGGAGTGGGGAAAAGAAAGGTAGAACTGAATACCAGGTTTTATCTGATGAAGCAGGCAGCATCCTGTGAATGCTGTTTTATAGGATTCACCTCTTAGTCTTTAAAGTGCCACAAGACTCTTTGCTGCTTAGCCCTTTGGAAACTGGGCATCTGGATAACATTTTGTTCAAGACTTGGCTTTTTTCATTCATTTATTTATTTGCAGATGTCTGTACTACACACTAGCCAAAGCTCCCTCAGCAGCATAGCTCTTCCTCTCATGCAAGTGTGAAAGCTCAAAAAAAATCCATATTGAAAAGCTGCATTGATGGAGACAAACTTGTGAAAGGAAGGAAGGAAGAGGTCTGTCTGTCGGTCTGTCATTCTGGTGGCAGCAGTGAACCTCTTTCTTAATGGATTGCTAGGCTTTAAACCTGAGGTAGAGTCATAAAGGGAGCAACAGTATGCTGAAATTCTGCTTCCTCTTTTAACAACTGCTTTGTCTTAATTCAGAATATATAAGAGAATTCATGACACATAAACACAAAGCAGCAATTGCTTTATCCCACTATAAATCTCTTCACCACATAGACAAAAATTAAAATTTGATTTTAATCTAGATGAAGTATATTTTTATGTGTGTTCAATTCAATGGCACTGCTTCAACCTTTTCTAAATATATAACTAAAGTGCACCATGCTCTCTCAGAACTGTCCAGTTTCGTCTCCTTATTTTGTGTGCATTTATCTCTTATTACGGCTTCCCAAACTCCATGTATTCAACTCATTCTTTCAATAGCCTTTGGAATGTTCAGCGTTGTGCAAGAATAGCTGCTGTGAAGGTGTCAACACATTCTGCATCTTTTTTCTAACAGAAAGAGGTGGTCTTTATTACTATGTTCCATCAACCTGGGTTTTGTTTGACCTTCCACTATCCATCCAACTAACAGTATTATTATTCTCGTAAGTATTTCTTCTATTGTGCAATAACTTTGGATGTATTCATTGCTACCTTCTGTGGTTAAGAAAACTTAATTAACTGCCTGGATGTGACCACTATGGGAAGTGGAACATGGAACTGGATGAGCCACTTGAGTGAGCCAGGAGGCTTCTCCCAAGTTTCTTAACCTCCTGCACACTGTTGACACCCCAACTAGCTTCTAAGCCACTTTGCCATTCTTTCAAAACTAGGCTTGCTCAAAGGACTTCCATTCCACCCAGACCAGGTGGCTGCAACTTCCTCTGTGGCTTCTTATACACCACTGTCTAGGTTGGTGAGATGACGACGTTATCAATTAAACCTGTTGCACATTAGAAATGCTATATAAATTAGGACTAGAAATAGTAGGCAGTGCTGTAATTTGAACATAGACATGTGCCTGCATATATATATATATATCCTTCTCTTGTTTCAAACTGTAATTCAAAGAATTATCAGAAGGCTCTTTCTTAGCTACTCCTCTAAAGTCTACAGGGTTATTTCTACTTCTGTAAGCTTGTTTCAGCAAAGACAAAAACACCAGGTGGGCTTGGTCTGAGCAGGCTGTTCTGCAGCTAGAGCAAAACAGCCCAGCAAGCCCTGATCTGCAACACAACCAACCTAAGTCCAGACTCGGATGGCAGGGAGGATTACAGGACAGCAGGTATCCTCTGAGCCAGCCAGCCAGCAAGCAAGCGCTTTGATGCATTGAAGGATCAGCCTCCTTGACTTGCTCCCCAAAATGAACTAGTGACCAAAGCAGCTCTTTTCACACAAGTACGAGAGGCTCCCCTTAGCAAATACTGTTCAGGCGCCAGGCTTCCACATTCTGCACCAACTGCAATTTCTGGAAAGATTTCAGAACAGATTGAATTGCAGTGCAGTGCAGTAATGCAGTACAGCAACCTTACAAGACTTAACTGGTATTCGGTGCAGAATTGTTGAACCTTTCCCATCGGTACTTGCATTTGACGGCTGTGTACTTTTCTGTACTAATTTCCCTGATTGTGTCAAAGTTGTTTCCGCTTCAGACAATTGGATAATTCTTTTCCCCATGACCTGCACTGATAAATGGGATAAGAACACCAGCAGCACCTCTACTGATGGTCCAAGGGCATTGCTAATCCATCTGAGTCTTTGAGCTTTGTTTCTGTCTCCCAAGAAAATATATTCTCTAATATATATAGGGAGTTTCTATGCAAGCAAGCAAGCAAGCTTTCCCATTTATTAGAATGGAGACACAATTCTGCATATGAAAATAAATGAATGTAGAAGCAAACGGAGATGCTGTTGTGATCAGAGAACTGGGTGTACCTGTACCTGCAAGAGACAGTTGGACTGCAGTGCGTGACGTTTGGGACGTCACAGAGGCATAAAGCAGGGAAGAAAGAGCCAAGGGCAAGAAAGCGATAGACTGACTATTACCTGAAGAGAAAGACGATACACGGCTGCTCGGACAACATGGTACCTGCAGCCCTGCAAAGCCCAGGTTCCTCTGCGACCCTCTGTCAACCTCAAAGCCTGCCTGCAGGCCAAGAGCCTGGTCCTTCTGCCCAGAGGCACGTTGGTACCAGCCACGAAGATGTTCCGCTACTAAGGCCTTGTGAATATTTTTGGTGATGTGCTCAGGTTTCACAGGAGGCTTCCGTGGCAGGCGCAGAGTGGCGTAAGGGTTGTGTGGCACTCTCTCCATTTCATCTTCATGGAAAGACCTGAACTCCCGGTAGCGGCGCTCATATCCATAGTGTCCTGATGAGCGGTAGGAAGGGTTGACGGTGTACTGGCCCTCCGTCCCGTTCTCATACACGTAGCCACTGTTATAATACACATCACATTCCGTGTAAGGGGCATAACCAGAAAGGTAGCAGTTGGCTGGGGGCTGCCCTTGGTCCTTTGGGTAGACACCATTGCGGATCTCCTTCTGGGCCAGGTTTGGCATGCTTCCTGAATTGGAAGCAGACATGTTCTGTTTCCTGGAGCGTCTCCTGTTTCTCGTACGGTTGTCAAGGGTCTGGGTGGTGTAGTAAGGGCTTGGATTTGGAGTCACACAGTAGTATTCTGCACTGGACTGGCTGGTGTAGGAGGACCCATCATCCAGGATTTCTGTACTGCTGCTTCTCTGCGATTTTGAAAGGGTGAACACTGGCTTTTCACTGGTCGTCTCGGCAAGCAAGTTAGTTTGAGACTCTAAGCTGCCACTACGCTGCCTGCAGTGTTGTGGGGATACGTCTGGCCTGGAAAAACAGGAATTTGTGTTTGTTACAGCTCTGCAGACAGTCATATGCATCAACAATATGGGACAATTATTTTGAATTACAGAAAAACTAGGCTTAGATTAAATGAAGTAAAACACGAGAATCATTGAGCAACAGAGCAAGCGACTTAAGGAAACTGCTATTCTTCCCTGGAGTTTTTCAAAGGCAGTAGAGAGGATTCTAACAGGGACAATTTCAATATATAATGCCTCATTGAAATAGGAGCTTGAGGACCCAGTTAAATTTGTTCATACTCTGTGATTCTGTTTTATTTCATAATAAACTTTAATGTTCCAATGTAATGTTAAGATTTCATCAGTGATGGCAGGTCCCAAACTATTGATCACACAGCAGGTTCACAGATGATCATTCAGCAGGACGCTGCTCTGCCAGTCGCTGGAAATGTGACCATCTCCTTAAGAAGGAATTGCCTCTGAGCCAGCACAGAAGTTGCATGTGATGCAGCAGGCAAGCAATGAATGTGTGCCTGGTTTTCGTTTGTGAAGATCAGGCTGTGAATATCCACCAAGAATGAAACATGGGCAAAACAATTAGGTAATGTGGCAAAAACATGATAATATTCAACAACAACACCATAGCCTAAGCATAGTTTTTGCTAATGACAAGGAAGAGGAAATCCCTGCTAGCCAATTGATCAGGATCACAAATTTCACATCAGAAATTATCGCAGCTGCAAACAGCAATTATAGCCTGTGATTCAAGGATGTGGAAGAGGAGGCTCCCTGTTACAGACAGTCATCCTCTACACGTGGAGGGCAAAAAGACTGGCGCAGGAGGGCAGGGCTGCTACTCTTCCTCGCATGTTACATATCCGGGAACACCTGCATGTGGGCCTACACCACGGACAGCCTCCTTAAGTCCACCGGCCAAATTCCATTTTGGAGAAACTCTTCCAGGTTGCATTCCAGTAGTGGGAGAGGCCAGATATAAAAGATATCATAAATATCAATATACTTTAGCATAAAGCTTTTGCTGCCAGCTAAGCCTCAGGGGAAGTTCAAGTTTTTTAAATAGGGGAAGCTGCACAAAAGCTGGGAAAACGCCAAATGGACAGTGATCAGGGAAAAGGAATGGGAAGGGAGGAGGCATCTTGAAAGCCTGTCTGAGACCCTGGGTTTGAGGTTCTCCATCCCTGTGCTAGAGTGACCAAGAAAGGATAAGACGATGCAGAATAGCCTCCCCATCTGTCAAACCTGACAGGCATTTAACCAGTCAAAATTGTGATACAATTAACATCCACTCAGAAAAGCCCTTTGCAGAGCAATTAGACAATACCTTCACACTGATCTGTGCAAGAATTCATAATTCAGTGCCTGATTGGGAACATCTGTGCCATTCAAAAGCTTGTTGAAAGAGCCAAAAGAAGCCAAGCACATGTAAGGTTCTGCTGAAATAGCCTGAATTAAAGCTCCTAATTAAGCACTTGCATTCCTTTGATTTGAGGACACTCCTGCAACCAGTCTCTCAACCTTTCAAAGGCGTGCTGTAATGGACACACCCATAACCTCTGCCTCCAGTACGTCCCTTTAGCTTTGAACTTGGATGAGTTGTGGTTTTCTTTTTGGTAGTGGAAAGGCTTTTGCATACAGTTGCAGGGAGAGGAGGAGACGGGAATGCACTTACTGCAAGTGAGTGCTACTGTACGCATTGCGTGTGAGAACGGGTGTTGTGGGCATACTCCGTCCACCAGGATGCTGCCACTCCGCTGTTCTGTATGGGCTGCTATGGGTCGACAAGGTATCTCTGTGAATAAAAAAAATAAAGGAATCCAAGATATAGCACAATTCCAGTATCTCCAATAAACTGCCAAGTAAATGACACTGACATACTTGTCTACAGACTGAAAATACACGATTTCTAGAATATGGGGGGAGAGTCCAAGTGCCAGCACAAAAGTCGTGCTAGGCAGCAATGGAGTGAGTAACACAAAGAATAGCTGTTATTTTGAGACCTAAGAAGGTGGAACTCAGAAAGGCAGAACAAGAAATGGAAAATAAAGGAAAAATAGTGCAAATTAGCATAGTATTCATGTGTCACTGGGATTATGGGATGCATTCACTGGATATGATGAGGAGGTTCAGTCAGGGGTTTGGTCTCTGGCTGTCCTCAATTGGTTCCACATATGGATTGGAGATCATCAGATCTCTGGTTCCCATTTCAGTTCCATGAGTTTCATGGAATCTGCTCAGAAGGAATGCCTGGCTTTCTGCAGCAGGTTTCTGAAGGGCAGAAAGCATTGCAGTGGGAAAAGAAAGTGCTAAAAAAATTCTTAAGGACAGGTGGAGAGCCTCTGGTCCTTGTTCAAGGCCAAGACTTGAGAGCCCCCTTTCAACATTGTTCTTGTTACCACCCACTTCATAATGCATCTCAGATGTTTACAGAAACATCTATGCACCTGTAATTCTTTCTCAGGTGAAAGCTCAGACACAAAAAGCCTTTTCCAAAAGCAAAATGTATGACCTGCAAGTCTTTTTGCATGCTTTTTCTAGAAGGAGAAAAACTGACTGAGCAGCAAACCACCAAAAGCAACATTCAAAAAACAATAAATCTCATCACTTCAAAGCTGGCAGCAATGCACAGAATTCTTTACAATGATGTTAAGCGAAGAGTAATAAAGCTGGCATAGTGTTCAGCAATGTGAAAGATTCTGTACCTGGAGTGTCTGGATTCCAGGAGCTGTTCGTTCATGGAAGATTTCCTGAGATGTGCTCTTTCCACCCCAAGAGATTTTGGAGGTGGGGTTTTAGGAGAAAGGGGGACAGAGCTTATTCTATGTGCTGGTACGCCCAGGGAATCAGTGCCTGTTTTAAGAAAACAGAATTTGGAAGATGGGAGGGTCATGTACAAAGAACCTTGTAACATTCATATCCTCAATTAGGAAAATCTCTTGATCATGCAAAATCTTAAGAAATACTAAGGGAAAGAAGCATTACTTAATCTCAATAATATATTTTAAAAATCCATTTTTATTAAAAAATACACTTGAATTAACTATGTGGCAACTGTGACATACTTCAATAAATCTAATTATCTTTACATATATGATATTCACAGAATACAGTCCTATGGCCACTAGATGTTGTCTAGATGGCCAAAGGAAAAGATGGAATCTCAGCTGTGACCTTGGAAAAGGGCCCCGAGGTCAGAGCTGGGCCTCCAACTTTAGAGTGCCCCCTATCTGCCTTTGCAGTTAGTGCCAATCTTTCTGTGTGGGCTGCAGCTGCAAAGTCAGAAGAGCAACACTGGAACTGGCAGGGGGGCATTCCTGTGGGAGTGGAGGAGGTTATGATGCATCCTGGTGGTGCCTCAACTTGTCCTCCTGTACTTACACAGCTGAAATTAGCCGTCTAAGCAATTTGGGGGCCGGGGAAGCATGGAGGCAAACATAGCTTCTGTGCTCCTCCCACTTCCACCGGATGCCTGTGATCTTCCAAGTCTGGAGGGTTTTCAGCAGTAAGATTGGATGACACCGTTAGTGACCTTAGTGCACAATTCTGTGCAAGTTTAGAGAGAAAACTACTCTTTTTGTATAAGTTTGCATAGACTTGTGGCTTACTTTGTTAAGATGTTAGCCAGGTAATGTCACATTCTTATTACAAATAAAGACAGAAATTTGATCTGTCTTCAGCAAAGTCATAACTCAACCATTTCATCTGGTGCTTTACTACAGCAAAAATGATAACAACATGTGTGCCTATATTATCTCATATATAATCAATGTACATATGATACTGAAGCAAGCAACTATCTGAAAACAGAATATTGCAGTGATTCTGGTATTAAAGATATTTTCAATACTCTTTTTAGATTTAGTGTCTAACATTGCATATAAATGGATGCTTTTTTAACAACTGGGGTGGCCGTGTTATATTCAGTATCTTTTGCAGGTGTTCTAAGGGTAAGTCAACAGTATCCTAGGAGGTGGTCCTGGACCAGTAACAACTGCAGCAAACACTTCAATTTTCCAAATTCCTACCTACATATTGATGCAAATCAAAGGCCCCAGGTTTTTTGGAACAACTTGAAACCTGATGGGGCCAAGATTGTGTGGAAATTTTCTTATACCTTGGAAATGTTTAGCAGATGTTTTGCATGCATAAATGCTCATTCCAATGTGAGAGAGAAGAAATCGATAGACAAAGCCTGTGAAAGAAAGCTCTGAGGTTTGCCAGCTCCATGGACCTATGCCTGAAACTTCATCAGTTTGGAAGCAAATGGTTCACCAAGTGCAGTTGGCCCTGACTTTTCTTGATGAGACAGTTGCCTTTTAGTTCTGTTTCAAAGAGCTCAACAGCTGTGAAGAGTCAATTAGGGAGAGGGAAACTAAATAGGAGCACTCGTATCGACCCACTGATGTGGTGCATGCATTTCTTCCAAGCTACGAAATAGGAACTGGCTTTGCAGTATCCAATTCTTAAATAACTCTTTACCCGCATTGCTTTTCTTGCATATAAGAGTCAAGGGTGGGGGGAGAGTTTTCTCCATTATGCTATCTTGGTCCAGGAAGGCGAATTTGTAATTGTCACTGTTGTCCTTCTAGCACCAAGCAACCCACTTTTAATTTTTCCCCGGGCCTTTTAACCCTTTTAATGGAGCTGCTGTGGACCTCAGTATCAGTTTATTATATTGACACAGCATGAACCATTGCAAACTCTTTGTATTCCTCAATGCTGATGGGCTCAGTTGCCCTGAGGTGTTTCCTCTCTTCCTTCCTCCTCCCTTTTTCAATTTTATATTTAATTTGTAAGTTACCAGGCATCTGGTTCACTCTTACAGAAATGAATGGGAACATGGAACTCCAAACACCTAAGTCAAGTGGGGTCCATTCTGTCTTTCAACAGTTGCTCAAACTACAGGAAAAATCTTAGAATGTTTCCAATATCATAAATTCCATTTTTAAATATGGACATACCATTTCAAAAGCACTGGAGAAGATTATTGCCTGTTTGTTGTAATTTTCCACTGTACATTCCTTTGCATTTTTTAAACAAAAAGAACCACAAGAGATTAATTCTGATACAGATTTCCCTTATCTTGACACAGGAGTTCAGACTCTCATACTGTAAACTTGAAACATTAATTTCTTATTTGTAATGGTGTTTCACAAGTCAAACTAAGACAAGACAAAACAAACCCTGTCCAGGTTGCATTATTCACTATGAGCACTAGGCATTTCTGCTGTTTTACTTTCTTGTCTGTCAAGATTGTGGGGTGCAATGAAGTCAAACAGTGTTTGCATTATTCTACATTTTTGGGATGTGATACCTATAACATCTTTCACTTTTCTTTGAAACTAGAACAATTTTTAAATCAAGAATGTATTCTTATTTCTGGATTGGGCTTCAGAAGGGTCCATGGGATTCATCCATCAAAAATGGAGAGGGATTCACAGTGGAAGTTTTTGATTAGCCCCTCCTTACCTTCACTCTCTTATCTGCTGCCTTCTTTGTTTGCACTCCTTAACTGATAATTTGCATTGTTTTTATCTTTCTTTTTAGCATTGCTAAAAAGCAGTGCTGAAGGTTTATAGAACAGGAATTATGTACTATATTTTTGAAAAGTATCAGACTCTTTTTTTAGATGTCCAGTCTAAACACTTGTGAACTATCTAGGTTATTCTTACCAGTTGATCTCATCCTAGTTATAAATCAATGGCAGCCCCAGAGTGAACATTTTTTGCACAGGAAAAAGAAAGCTGAGCAATGCACTCTTTCCTTGTTTGTTCAAAATCCAGATCAGATATGGCAGTGTTCTAAAAATACCAGGCCTAGTCATTCCAGTGTTGATGTAAGCACAGCCCTTATTCTTGGGACTAGCCAATTGGAAAAGGTGTGCCTATCAAAATTAAGGAACTCTTGCCATTACTTGAACTTGAACACAAAAGTTACACATTTCTGTTTCAACAAGAATGAGTGGGAAGGGAGGGAGGGAGTTTCCTGAGGACTAATGACTGGTTGAAGGAGCATGGTTAACCCAACCCATAGTTAGCTGGCAGGAAATACTCAGCCCAGACACCATTATACCAATTAAATAAATCTTGGGAATCCTGAAAAAATATGTAAAAGGATAATTGCTTGTTTATGTGTTAACTAGGGAGTTATATTTTTTCCAGATTAAGAGATTGCATTAGCATGCTGGTTTTCATCTTTTTTATTTTAACCCAAGTTAGCTGCTAAGTTCCTTTTGGAAACCACCTGGCTCAAGGTTAGCTCACAATTACTTGCAATTTTGTTTTATTGCCTGAAACTGTTCATCCCAGAATTCACAGGTTCAGGTGATAGTGGAAGTGGCAATAATCTGGGAGAGGTGGAGAGGAAAATAGGTGATCTTGTTATTGTATGTATTATAGATTATTATGTATGTATTATGTACTGTATATGTATTAATATTAGATATGTCCACATTATATATAACATACTACTTCTCAAAAAGCTATGCACATTTGTGATTATTCTATTGGGTAATGAATGCACATATATTTCTTGCTTATGTTCAATAAAACTGTTGAGAGAGAATTTGCTTTAAGCTCTATTCCTTCACTACCAACCTCATATATCATGAAAATATAAACCTGAAAGCAACTGAGTCTGAACATGTAGTAAGGACAAAGTGGTCACACGCACGCACATGTGTGATCGTGGGTGGGTTCAATCAACTTGACTCAGCTTTTTCAACTGCCCTTTTCTTATTGTGGATCTACTGTTGCATGTTGTTGTCCCCTTCCTGTTGCTCACTTTACTCTTAAAGACAGCATAGAGGGATATGCTCCTAAAGCTGAGGTTCCCAGAGGCATTGGACTAAAGCTCCCATCATGTGCATGGCTAATGGTCTGGGATTATGGAAGCTGTACCGAGAGCCTTCTGAGTAATTCCTGAGCCCAAGCACTATGGTCAGCGCCTAGCCCAAGTTGACTGGGTGACCGCTTGTGCTTGCTTTGAATCATCCCTTTTGGATTCATGTTAAGGCACTGACTGCTCTCCCTTTCTTTAATCAACAGAAAAATTGCTGGTTGTGGGGAAGCAGAGAGAGCACAAACAAACAGAGGAACAAACATGCACGCCTTCCCCTTCAAGGAAACAAACCCAGATCAACTCACACTTCAGCTAATTATTACATTATCTCCCAAACATGGCCCTCATAAAGTTCCATGGAAGTGTCTTCCCAGGATGCAAGCCATATCGTTTCTTTCATGTCAGTGCTTCTGAATTTTGTAAATAATGTCTTGGCTATGCACAAACACATGGGCTTGGATCCTGAGATCAGTTAGCTAAGGGATGTTCACAGAAGAGGTGTCCACTTCTTTCCCTGCAGCCCCCATGCCTCATCCCCCTAAAAAAAGACCTTTAGAGGTGGCACAGGTGGCTGTAGACAGAAAAGGACATGGCAAATATTCCTTCTGTGAACATCCTTAAGTTAACTTTGCTTAGCATCCCATTGTTTCATGGCTTCAATTGCTGGGTACACTCCTTTATTGCCTTGCCTAGCCTTCAGAAATTGAAAATGTATAGAAATTGCATTCACGCCTTGCTTGGAAGTCCCCAAGAATACAGAATGTCACTTTCTACACTGTGGTTTTATGTGCTTCAGCTAAATAGTGGAATTCACATACCATCATCAAATGTTGTTGTATCAGACAATGAGCTGCTCTCAGATGGAATGGTTTCTTCTATGGGAAAAGAAAAAAAAAACAATCTTTAAGAATGAATTTAAATTGCAGCTTGGAATATTGAGCGAACGGCACAATTTTCAGGGTTGGATGTACTTTCTAGGATATAACAGAGGAAAAACCAACTTAATAGGGCAACTTACTAAAACAAACAAACAAACAAACAAACAAACAGAAGTGTGATGCCACAAGATAAAAGAAACAAAAACCCTGAACTGTTGCTTACCCAAACAAAGTAAGTTTCTTTAGCCCAGTCAGAGAATTTAACTAGTCACTGACACCATGGAGAATAATGCCAGACGAGTCAGCTGCTGGCAATCTTAGAAATTCCACACTCTATTATAATAGCGTCCATTCATACCCGACCACACATACACACAACATTTGCTGCACAAGTGTTGAACTCTGCAATGCAATGGAGGCACACCAGAGCTCCTGTGTGCCCCCTTGACAAACGTCACTGACAGGGCATGGTGACCAGGTACACACTTATTTCCCAAGTGTAGAGTATACAGAAGCCAAGGCGGCTGGACCCTGTCTGAAACAGCATCTTCTCTGTTGAGCTGTTTGGAAAATCTGCCACCACAACAGATTCACTGCTGCACCAGCAGGGCAATCTTCACATTTTAAAAGTAACAAGGCACCACTTCTCATGCTGGTAATTTTCTGAATGATGAGGTGACTTGCTGTCCCCAACGCTCTATGAAAAGCATTTGACAGATCCAGAAAGATACAGATATCATGATAAGTCTCTTAGGGCGCATGTTTTGAATGTTTATGGCTGAGACATGCTAGAAGTAGTTGAACCTTTTTTGTCTAAACATGGATAGGATTGCACCCATATGTGCCTAGCTAGTTATCATTTACAAAATGTAGTTTAAGATGGACAATCTTAACACCAGGGAAATGCAGACATTGTCTATATGCTTCATTTTATAGTTGCTTACCTGGCAAAATACCTGAATATTTTTTCAAAAGACCCTAGACACTGCAAAAGTACATTTTATTTAGGACACCTTTTCCCACCCTGGTGTCCTCCAGATATTCTGGAATACATCTCCCATCAAAATTTCATGATGGAAGTTACAATCCAACACATCTGGAAGGCATCAGGTTGGGAAATAAAATACATCTTTAAGATCAGAACATTCACATACAAACAATGGAGGTTGTATTTTCACGCTTCTGTCTACTTTAACCCAGAGACTGGGTTAACCCGGATAATGATGTTTATCATCATTTAGTTCATAGCCCTTTAAGTGCAGAGCCAAGCATCAGGATAGTCTGCTCTAATGTGCTCCAATTATTATTTCTTTTGTCACCTCTCTTGATTGGTTTGTGTTTTCCTTCTTCCCTTCCCTGCCCATGAGCTTATGTGCTGTATCTTATGCAAACCAGCCTCAACGTATGCAATGGGTATTCTGCTTGCTCATCTCCCTGACCCTGCCCAAAAGGTCCCCAAACTCTTTGCAGCAGTTTAGCGAGGGGGAGGGGACTCCAGGGGTGGAGGGGAATTTGTTCCACCACCAGTTTCTGTTCCACTGATGGATGGACACCACTGAATACACCCCTGCATTTCTGTACTCCTGAATCTTTGCAAGAAACTAACACTTGTGGTCATTGCTGGAAATCTCTTCCATATACAGAAGGTAAACAATTTGGCATGGGAATAGATATGCAATCTTTGAAGGATAATCAAGGTGTCCAGGGAGGATTCAGAGTTGGTGGAAGAGTCAACTGGATGGACTCTGACTGGGGAAAGACAGAAACATAGACAGAACGGGCCAATGACACTACTTTTATCAGGAGAGGCTCCAACAAAGGAGGTCTATACAATTTCATCCCAAATTACAAAATCATTGTCTGATCATACTACTATGCCTGGTTGGAGCAAGACTGCAAAAGATAACACTAGCACATCCCTCGTTTTTTAAATATTAAACGAGAAAACCTAGCCCTTTGGGACACAGTCACCAGGTTAATCACCAAAACACACAGTTCTTAAGACTGTGTTGGCATTGTTCCAAGTTGAAGCTCTAGCACTAGACAACAGGGACAAGGTACAAACTCCAGCTTTAAAAACAGGGATGATTTTGTACAGGATTACGTGATGCTAATCTCACATCAGAAAACATGTCCAAGTCAGGGGAATATTCGCACCCCACGGGGAGTGTGGGGCTGGTGTGCAGTTCCCATGGCTCAGCTGCCTGTCAGTGTGAAGCTGTTAGTTGACCATCCTGCAGTGTCCCGCGGGACAGAGGGAACTGGTTTCTCACTGGTGCACGGCTATTAAATTGACTCATGAATTGCCAAGGATGCCAATATAGCTCCAGCATGAATTGCCCAGCTTTCACTCACAGCCACTGGCATTTTGCATGCTTTCCTCCACTTGATTAAAGAGCTCATTTAGGTTATTCATCTTCTCCTCGTGCAGGTGCCAGCATCCTATAATCACCTCAAACTTCATTTTGATAAACTGAGCTAATCTGAACTCCTTACATTTCTCCATGCACCAACTTGCTTCCCAACACGGGAGCCATTTGTGGAACATTTCAGCATATCTCAAAATGCAGGCATCAGCTCTGGACCAGCCATTCCTACCAATCTATCTCCTTGCCTGACACTGAGTTGTTTACAGCTAGATGAAGTGAATGCGTCTAGATTGGTTGCCAAGGCAGCCCAGAGTGAGGCACCCAGATTCCCAGGGACCTTGGATATTCACCAGGGCAGATGCAAGGGAGTGGGGTTCTTAGGTGAAACAGACAAAGTGCAATGCAGCCAAAATAAACCTGGTGGCCTGGTCTGCGTGTATGGCTTATAGTTTGCACTTGTATTTTTGATTGTTGACATACAGATTTAGTTGATATACAAAAACAGAATGCTAAAACTACAGGGATACAAAGAAGAAATGCATCTCTGATCTGAAGGAGATGCCCTGCTTGTGGTTTCTTCTCCAATAAATTAGATGAAGACTCTGGGGACTCAAGAGAGGTTTTTCACAATGGTGGCCTTCCATTCCTGGAATTCCTGCCCAAGAGAGGTGCGATAAGTCCCACTGGGACTATTTTTAAATGCCATTGATAGGCTGTTTTATACAAGCACATGGTCCCTGGCTTGTTGCTTCTGGTGTTTTTCAGTTAGAGGACTATTTTTGCTCTGAGTACCCACAGCCAGTTGACTGAAAACCTGAGCTTAGATAGTCTGGGCTCGTCAGCACTTGCTCACTCTCCTGATTGTTAAAATGTGCAGTTTCTCATATGCTTAAAATCCATGTTCATGGTACAGAATAGGAAGGCCAGAGCAAGTGGCCAGTGGCCCCGTCCATGTTCCTGCTCCTGTTAACACATTTAAGATGTTGGTAAGTGGCATTTACAATGCTACGGAGATGTAGTAGAAGGGACACAAGTGATCATGGCCCTGCCCTCCTTGCAAGTTTTTGGTCAACAGACTACTTATATTACTTTACAATAAGGCAAACTCAGCAGTGATAATGTATGGGAACTACTGAATACTACCCCAAAGTTCTAGCTCTTATTAAAAGATCCCCAAATAGACCTTGCACTCTTCTTTCAGAACTGACCCCTAACTCTGTGCACTTCCAACCACTGTTACTTTACCAACTCATAAGCCACACGCAGTTCATTCCTTTCATCTTGTTCGGGATTCAAATGCACACGTGTAGTTCTCTTTTGTCCTCTTTGCCCCTCCCATCAGTACAAACTTCTCCTACACTTGTTAAGACCCAGCAGAGGGGGAGGGAAGCGCTACTTTAATTACATGCTTGAAGGGTAATAGGCCCCGCATTAGCCAAGAGATCATGCACAGCTGCCAATTTCTGCTCAAATCAGCATCTGATACTCAACAGAACAAGGTACCAAGCTAGTTTCAGGTAGAAGGATTTCGGCGGCCCTCCTGCGCACAGCAATTCTTTGGTTTGCGTTATCCTTTGGACGTGCCTGCACTTGTGCTGCACTTTGCCAGTATTCCCTTTCAAGCACACCTCACGTAAAAACATGGCAGTTATATAGTAGGCAAGTTCCAGACTCTGCTGAACTCAGGAGACTAAATGCCTATTGATCTCTGCTGGACAGAAACTGATTCTCCTTTCCACACTACCACATCCAAATGCTGGAAGGATTTTTGATACCTGGTAAAGTCAGGGTTGACTTCTGTGCGGGCTTCTTCCCACATTTAATCCGATACTCATTAATGGCATTTTCAATCTCCTGAAGCTTTTTGACAGCCTCCACATACTCCTGCTTCCTTTTCTTCTTCACGTTTTTGCACAGGTCTGGCTCGCCAGCAAGTTTTTTCACTGCTTCCACCAGCTTTTGCTGTATGAAAAAGTTGCTCTCCAGATTTTGCAGAGTTGGGTCCTGCATAATGAGAAAAATATAGGTAAACAAAGTTGATCTGTAAGATTAGAACGTGGATCCAAGCCAAGTCTTTTAAGGCTTGAAATACAGGAGTGGAATTTAGTACAGTATCCTGCCCAGGTGGCATTTGCGGAATCACCTGTAGGATTGGGTGGTGTGATGTGGGAAGCCAATTTCCTGTAAGCCTCCGCTCTGCAATGGCATCATCAAGATGCTCATAAAAAGGCCAACGTTTTCACACCCTGTTACCAAGACCTAAACACCAGGATCTCTCCACAGTCAGCAATATATTTGCACTGTCCTGCTGTGAACAAACTGCCACCAAGTGTTTCTGGAAACAGGGTTTGCACTCTGTAATCACTAATACAATTATGCTCATGTTAGAAGCTTTGTTAGTCAATGTTTATAAACAACAACGTGGACCTGAGATGAAAGAAGGCACACAAATGAAAATTCCAAAGCAGCGCTTAATTATGTACCAGGCAATCTTGCTTTAAAAAATTTCTGCAGGTATATATAAGAAAGGAACTTCTGTTTAAGCCTGTGTCAGTCAGGGGAATAGGATCCTATTGGCAAAAAGATGTTACTTGTCCACAAGCCTTCCCCAGTCTGTACTCTCTGGCTATGTAGGACTGCAGCTCCTATCAATCCCAGTTAGCAAACTGGTTGGGGGAAGGCTTGCTCTTAACTTCCCAGCAGCTAATGGTAAATCGCTTTAAGGTAATTTAGATCTGAATCCTAGAAGAACTTCCAATCATACAGAAAGATATAATGTGGAGACCAGAATACAAGCCATCTATCTTCTACCATGAATTATGAAGTAGTTCCAGACTTCCTGCAGATCTCCTCAGTGCACGCTTTTGCTGCACGCTCAGACAGAAATGAGTCTGCCTGGCAAGAGCAGCCCCAAATATTTAAAGCTGTACATACGTGGCATGAATCTAGGAAATCCTACGAAGTGCAAGCTTCTGCAGCACTGCCCTCAGCAGGCTCTGCCAGCCACATCTTTGCTGTTTTTAAGCACAGCATAGGTGTGTTTGGGGCTAAGAACCAAACTCAGCCTGTTATTCTTCCAGCTCTTGAACAGAAACTCAGATTGCCTCATGAACGCACTGGAAAGGTTACTGGAATTGCTTGCCACAAAGGATTTGTTCCCGCTCCACCCCTGCACCCAGAACTTAAACAGAGCTGAGAGGCCAAGCTGCGATGTGTGTAACTTGGGCAAAGCAGCTCATCAGTTCCTTGCTGGACTGAATCAGAAGATGCATGGAGCTTGGTGGAAGCAGTGGGCGAAGGTCACTGTCCAGGGAAGGGGAGGGAGCTGCTGGCAGGATGAAGGGTGAAAACCAATTCTGTGGTCCCACCATGGCTCCTCCACTCACATCCTCAGCAGCACCGGCACCACTTCCACACTGCAGCAGAGTGTCTCTGTGTGTGTGCAGACAGGGACAACATGATTTGTGGCCTTTCCTGGCAAGTGTGCTGTTCAGGTGAAAAAACAAACAAACAAACCCTCATGCAACTGACCTTGCCCATGTTGCCTTGTGCAGCCAGGCTGTCACAACTGCAGAGGGGCTTGCTGTTTACACTTGGAGGCCATTTCCTCTACACGGATTCCCACTTAGCTATGCGTTGGCACCATGACAGTATCCAGCAGACAACAGAAATACTTGCATCCATAGAAATGGTAACAAAAGAAGCTAATGAGGGACAACTTTTGAAAAGGAATTAGGTTTACACCAGAGCCACTGAAGAAGTATACAGAGTCAGGCAGGCAATCCAGTGAGCTCCGGATCTTTTGCAATTCCCACGAGACCCATCCAGCACAGCAGCAGTGACAGGGACTGACTGCAATTTAACAGCTCTGGAGGGCACTGGACTGCCAACCTGTAACGCAGAGAATTCATACCCACCTTATGGCACAGAATCCCTATCAAGAAACAATCAGTTCACCGGGAAAGGTAAAAGGGAGGGAACAAAATCTACTAAGGACACTTCTCTGTATTACATGTTTTACTGAAACCACTGGTTGAAGAGCCCAGCAATTTAAATAAAGTAGAATCAGCTTCTTCGCTGAGATGAGATAGCTTTTACAGCCATTATGTCAGGGCTGAACCCTGCTCGTAAAAGACTGGGAGGCTTAATCTTCATTTCAAATCATACCTACACTTATTTCCAGAAATAGTATTATTTCCCTAACCCTAACCCCTTGCTTACCCAACACAAGCCAAACAGTAAAAGAGGGAATTTTTGAAGCCTATGGGAACTGCAGGATTTAACAGGTATTCCACTGATGCCTTGCAGTGCCTCATTTTTGCCAATGAAACCTCCAGCAGAACTTGTACATACCTCCTCGCTGGGAAGCAGGTTGCCATCCAATTTGAATGTTGTGCCTACACGCCTTCGGACCTGAGGAGGTTTCTCTCCTGTGTTCAGAGGGTATTCCTTTGGCATTTTCCCAGTGAGCTCCTATGGAAGGGGAGAAAAGAGCCATTCTGAACATTAGCACAGGTGTGTTCTATCAGCACCCCAGGCCAGGAGGAGCAGGGAGCAAGGCCTCACCGCCTCCCGCAGACAGATTTTCTTCAGCTCCTCAACTTTCTGCAGAAGCTTCTCCTGTAAAAGCTTTTCTTTCTTTCTCAGTTCCAGTATCTTCTCTTTCTTTTGCTCTTCACTGACCTCTGAATCTTGAGATCCTGCAAGGAAAAACCGGTTCTTCCATTTCTGATGTTCGGTCTCTGAATGCTGTTGTTTATGAAGCCATGGCAGCAGTAGGGGAGGTATCAGCAGGAGTGGGGAAGGAACCCCTAAGGCAGTCCAGTGAGGGCTGAACATGTCCAGCAGCCAAAGAATTCTGCCTGACTGCTGGGGAAGGGGAAAGGAAGACTAGCAGCAGGGGATGGGAGGGCTGGAATCGTAAGCAGCAGCACTCCACGTGGCAACATTTTATCACAGGTCCCACTTGTGAATTTGCATACTGATTTTCAATCTGTGGCTTTCCTTGGCCTTAATTAGTGGGGATAATCATATTTCTTTTCTGAGTTCAAGAAGGATTTTTCAGAGTAGATAGTAACTGCACTGCAATGAAATTCAAGAGATGCCCAGTTGAGATAGTCATGCATGCACCTATTCCAACGGCTGTGCTAAGTGGCTCAAATTCATCAGTGTAGAAGTTAAGTCAAGAGTGAACTTGAGCTGTTGGTTGGCTTCTACCTTTTGCACTTTCTATTTATATTAGGGTTCCCTTTCATGCATCCTTTCCAATATTCCTTGCAGGATCCTTGTGTAAAAACACCTACAGTTTGCACAATTCATAAAATATAAGACTTTAAATGTGTTGAAGACAACCGAAAACAGTATTGTTACTTGTTTATAGAGAATTTCTGGATGGAACAGAGTTTGAGTCAATCACTTATGTAGCACAATCTAGCAAAGGTAGACTTTTGCTTCAATTAACTATGTTTCTGGGCTGCAAGTTGGCTGTAGCACTGACAGACGAAGTAGCTCTGACTTTCCAGAGTTTGAGGCCAGCTGGGTGGGACAGCAGGGGATGGAATTAACTGTACCTGAACGTCATTCGAAATAAATCTGGAGCTCCCCATGTACTTAACATGCTCTTTGAAGAAAGCAAGGGGGAAGGGAACACAGTTGCCCCTTTGCTGATATAGTGTTGTGGTTGTTTATTGTGACATCGCATATAATTGTCTGGCTCCTAAGACCAGTGAATGAAGGAAGGACCACTTGCAGGTCTTTCCTCCCCACTGCACCGATCCCAAAAACTCTGTCAAGAGGGCTGGGGATGCCTCCTGTGGGATGGAGCAGAGGGACCTGCTGTGAGGGGGGTGAGGACTCAATAACGGCAACCCTTGCCCTGATTTTGTGGGATTAATCCCTGCTCAGCAGCCCCATTCCAGAACCTCCCCAGCTGTCAGGGAAGGACAGCTGCAGGCTTCCACAGGAAGGGATATGAACCCCTTCTCTCCAGTTACTTATCTTAGGATCCAAGCCTATATTTATCATTATACGGACTGGTTATCGCTCTACTGTGTTAGCTGCCTTGGCATTATATGTTATGTATACACTGCATATGGAAAGGAGGGGTATACATTTAAGAAACAAGCAAACAAATGAAACTCATTGCAGATAAATCCAAGTGAGAAAGTAAACATGCTCTTTCGCTTCTGGAGGAGAGTGAAGTCAATAGGTCCCAATGAAGCACAAATAAGATGGGGACTTTGTTGCGGTCGCTTTCCTGTTTGGAAGCACCAGTAGGTAGAATCCGCAAGCACACTGACTTGAAGGAGAAGCTTATTTTCATTTCCAGTAACACCAAGTTTTTGTACAGCAAAAGTGGATTTCACATACAAGGGCTTTTCTGCACTCTTGTAAGACTTGCCAATTGCAGATGATTGTAGCAAAGGAATCCCTGTGTTTTCTCCACTGGAAAGAAAAGGCTTCTTTCCCTCATCTACAGTCTATGTGGGACTGAGTTGTATAATACAGTCATCAAGTTTCAGGCATCAGACACTTGATACAAGACTCACTTCATACCTGAGGAAATTAAGCTGCCATTGCTGGCCATGATAAGTTGATTCTTTGCTTCCAGAGCTGCTAGTTTTGAAACCTTTGGTGTTCCCATCTCTGTCAGGTCCACTGCAATGTCATCCAAGCTTCTGGCTGAGGGAATTTTTGCCTGAATCAATCAAATGCACATGAAAAAAGAATGAACCACAATATATTATCAGGCGGCCTCTAACAGTTTCTGAATAAGCAAAATGAAAAATGACATTTTTGCACGATTCCAAGAAATGTGGGTTTTGGACACAGATTATTAAAGACTGGACTGAGAATGAAGAGGAATGGCGTGTGGGTTTATCTTGTTGCTGCTATTATTACATTTACATTATATCTTTTTCTTCTTCGAAGGAACCCTTGAGTGGCTTACATGATTCTCCTCCTTTTCTCTCCACACCCACCACCCTGTGGGACAAGTTAGCCCAAGAGTCCAAGATGGCTAGGTGGGACTAGAACCCAGATGTCCAAAGCCCCAGTCTCATGCTTTCACAACTAAGCCAGACTGTTGGGCACCATATAAATTAAACATTTTGTATCTGGGGCACATTTCTTTTTTCAGTAAAGGTAGCAGTAATAATAGCAAGGGCAACCCAAGCTTTTCAACCCAGATTGAGTAAAAGTTGTGTCCAAGAGGAAGAGGTGGCAAAAGAGAAGAAAGGTGACTCTTGCTTTTATACTGCTGACATGCCACAAATGATGAGCACAAGTATGTCATGAGCATGTCATGTATACAGGTTTGTGGGCTAGGACACTGTGGCTCACCAACACAGTCGGCATAATCTACTCAAGGGAGTTGCTAATGTTCTAAACAATGGCACGGAACGTAGCTTTACCCATAGCGACTTACTTTGCTTTGTTTTCTGTCCAAGTAAAACTGATGCTGACTGATGGCCATAACCCAGATGGATTTGATCAGAGAAGTGTTTGCATACCAGGTTTGCACTACAAGTCCGCTCTGTCCAAAAGTCCTTCTTGACACTGAAATTCTAAAGCATTTCATAATGCTGTTACTAGTTTTGTTTTCAGTTTAAGCTTCTCCCTCTCAAATTTGAGGAAAAGCTCAACACCCTGTACTGTAGTGGTCAAAAACCCCACAGGTTCTAGTGTATTATTTATTTAGTTAGTTAGTTAGTTAGTTAGTTAGTTAGTAAACTTCTATGCCGCCCCATTAGCCAAAGCCTCGGGGCGGCTTACAACAATAAATACATATAATCATATAAAAACAATATAATTGGAAATGCCCTGGCCAAAGATATAAAATCAATAAATAAGCTAACAATTAAAATGCCGTTTAAATAAAAAGGTCTTGGCCTGGTGCCGATGGCGCCAGGCGGACCTCTATGGGGAGCGTCTTCCATAGATTGGGTGCCACCGCAGAGAAAGCCCTCCTCCAGGTAGTTACCCTCCTAATATCCTTCATGGAGAGTAACTGGCATTCCACTTCCACAGCTGGTATATTCTGACCCGGTTGTCATGAAAGGGTTAACCTGTGTCTGGGACTCACCATGGCAGTCTGGGAGAGGGCTGGGGACCGACATGACTGAATATCCCTCCAGACAACATGTTCTCCATACACAGAAACTAGATTTCACAGAGAAATGTCTAACCACACCTTTTCCCTGACATCTAGTTTTTCTATGTGGAGAGTTTTTTGGGGGAGTATGGAAAAGCACCATCACTGCCCTGTCTCAAGTGTTACAGTCCAGACACATGACAACCACAATGCAAAAGGTTTCTGTTACACCCAGACTTTTGACTTTCCTCTTTGTCAAAGAATTGAGTCACAAATACAAAACCACTCCCTATAAAGCTGTACAACATACAGTGTTAAACCTAAAAGAATGTTTGTGGCAAACACTAGAAAGAGCTAGTGAAAAATGGGATACTGAGTCTTAACCTACTTTAGTTGTATGTCCAATTCACATTGCCATATCCAAATTGGAATGGGAGCTGGCAGCCTCATGGGATCTGACCACCCCGTGCCTCCCTTGCCATCCACTCTTCCAGGTGCACCGCTTGTTTTTAATTTAAATTTGACCTGTTCACCTCTCGATGCAAAAATGTTCATTATTTACATGAATATTTCTGATATGAACAAATGATGACTCATGTTAGACTAGTAAAAAAACTGTGACTTCTCAGAAATATATCTATCTATCTAAACGAACATCTCCTCCTCTACACAACTAACTCAGACCTTAAGATAATCTAAGGAGGTCCTTCCTTGGGAGCCACCTTTAAAAGAAGTAAGAAAGGTGACAACAAGGGAAAGGGCCTTCTTGGCTGGGGCACTCTGACTATGGAACCAGCTCCGCAGAGAGGTATGCCAGGCAATGACCCTTTATACATTTTGGCACCAGGTCAACACCTATTTATTTCCCCATTATTTTAACTATTAAATGTAACTCAATTCTATACTCGTTTTCATTAATATTGTCATTGTTGCATTGTGGATTAGTGGCTATGCTATACTGTGTTGCGTATAATAATAATAATAATAATAATAATAATAATAATAATAATATATAATATAATATTATAATATAATAATAATAATAAATAATGTTGTTAACTGTTGTTTATTATTATGTAAGCCGTCCTGAGACATGATAGTGAAGGATACGATACAAATGTTTTAAATAAATAAATAAAATTTGAATTTTCATGGTTGTCGTTATTGACATCAAAGTTATTATGCCATGCTGTGTTTTTAATTTTTTAAAATCTATTGTTCATCATTCTGAGAGGTTATTTTTTGCTAAAGGATGGCATATGAAAGTTTTAAATAAATAAATACATAAATAAATATTGTGCCCAACATGTTTAGGCACACTGTATGCTAAGCATCTCTCTTCGATTTACTTACTATTTATTACCATCATAGACCAGCATAAACGAATGTAGGCCAACATAATAGATTCAACAATGCTTTTCCAATTAAAATAACAATTTAAAATGAACTTAAAAACAAAAAGGAATGGACACTAAAAATTAAAATAACCTAGACCACAAAACTAAAATGTGTACTGCCACAGAGATGTGCATATTGGTAATACAAATAAAACCTTTGTTAGAATTCACTACAATTTAAATTGCATAAAAGGTATAGATCCATTACTAACTAGCACGAGATTTCCTTAATCTAAGTATTCCATTTACATAAACGATTTGCTGTTGAAATTTCCAGAATATTCAGTCCAAAACATTTCCCCAGCAGTGTTTTATGATATATGCCAAATATTGTTTTATTTATCCTTTGAACAGCTCCTTATTGCAAGGTTAATCAAGTCAATTTCTGTAAATGGTAAGATGCAGCCTCAGCACAATCCCTTGTGTGCTGCAGTTGAGATAAATATTGGATGGAGCGGAAGTACCAATATATCATGTTCAAATGAAATAAGTTCAGGCAGTGAATGATGAATCAAATGCTTTCGATATGCCACTGTGCAATTACCTGCGGGGATCATGCACCTCAACAGCAAATTTCTTCTCACGGAAATAGAGATTCTCCAGCTGTTTCCATTGAAATAACTGGAAAAGAAACAGGAAGCACCATAACTTACCTTGCCATTTTATTATGAACTCCATTAAACTTTATGCTGACAGAAACTCAAGCTACATTTGAGAATTGTAAAATAAACAAACAAACCTTCCCAAAACCTTAAGCATTTGTAAGAGTAAATGATTCATTCAGTGAAATTACATTGCTGTGATAAAGAACATGCTGTAAATTTTGCTCTTGCACAGGCCTGAATTGTGGGTAGATTCATCTCCTTTCTCCATCCCCCATTGGGGAAGCTGTTCATAGTCAACAAGCACTGTATTCTTAGAGAACGTTACACGTAATATAAGCAACCACCACCAAAAATACTTTCTCCTCCTCATTTCCACTGTGCCCACCTCTCATTACTGATAGGCTAACAGCATCCATAGAGGCATGATGTGTTTCTGCTTTGGCATGGCAGATCATCTTACAGGAGAAGTAAACAGGCGTGGATGTGAATTCCTCATATAAAAATCCATGATGCCAGAATTATGAAACTACAGACCCATGCCCCACACAGACTCATTTTCATAACATCACTGCATGGACACTGCTCAAGAGATATAGAATTGTGGTCTTCTGCAGGATGCAGATTAAACTCCCTGTAAGGAAAGCAGGAACTGTTATGGTAAATGGCACAGAACATCAACACTGCAAATGCAGTACATGGGCACTAACCTAGTGTTCAGTTACAGGATCCATATAAAGTGCTTTGGCTGTAATCGTCTGCACAGCTACCCAGGAATAAGTGCATCGGATTCAGTGGTACTTACTTCTGAATAGATGGGGACAGGATTGCACTGAGTTTCAAAGCACTGTCATGATGGCATTTTAGTGAGACTACTAGACTGCTTCATGTCCTGTGTTGCCTCCATTTCCAAAAAACCCACAGCAACAGCACACTCAAACATTTTTTACAAAACCCCAGCAGACAACAGATGCCATGATGCCAGACTGACCCAACACCACATTCATATCAAGTAGGGTAATATCAGGCTTTCTGATACTCTGCTTAATATATAAAGTGAAGGTAGAAATATTGGCTACAAACAAGAATGCTAAATCCATTTAAGTGTAAGACCCTTTTTAGGCCAATTCAAGGGCCACAAGTCACTGTGCTGAAAGACTCTGTGACTCCTTCCAACTCTCCTATTCTATGATTCTGTACGTTTTCTAGTTTTAGTGCTGTGAATTTTCAAGGGTTTTTTTAGCCCTAGTTATAAAGATGGTATATAAAACAAAACAAGGAAAATGGGAGGAAAGCTATGGAGTCCATGTTTGGTTATAGTCTTAGGATGGAAAGTAAAAAGATGCTGCATTCAAATTACGTTCTACCATGTGCTGAGATGGTACAGAAACAAGATTTTCTTTCTCCTCTGAAGAAGAAACAAGCACCAATACGTGTCCGAGTTTTTGAAAACTTGAACTCAAGCTGTTTACTCAAAAAAGAACGCCATTCTTAAGTGAAAACACATGCAGCATTATCTAATGCTGCCGGTGGGAAGAGCAGCTACCACAATACAAGTTAGTGCTGGCAAGGAGAACTATCTCTTCTGGAATGAGACAAGTTAGTGGAGCTAGCTGGTGCAATGTGTTGAGCACTGGTGAACTGTCAGTGTGGAACAACACTCACTGATTTCTTGGTAGGTGGGTAGCCAAAAACTAGGCAGTCTCGTTATGGACTGAAGATAATTTCAAGTGGGGTATAAGGCAAACAAGAAAAGTAAGTGGAAACCTCATTGGATAGCTTTACCTAGTGGTTGGAAGAGAAGTTAGGCTGTCAGTGATGCAGCTTAGGGTTTTTACCCATTTTCTGATATCAAAAGAAATTCTGATGGCAAGACATTACTTCTAGTATCACTCCCCATTGCTAGGGAACATGAGCAGGAGGGCACTGTTGTACTCACATCCTGCCCATAGGCATCTAGTTGGCCACTATGGATATAGCTAAGCAAGGCCTTGGATCTGCTCCAGGCCAGCACTTCTCATATAGGGATGTGGGAAGGTGTAAAATCACCTAGAAATCCTGAATATGCAGGCCCTGTGTTTCGCAGGCCCTGAAAGAAAGACGCCTTTTCTGTATGCACCAAGTGATTCTCTTTCTGGGTACATCTTTAGCCTCCTCTGTGCTAAGTGATAACAAGGCATCAAAATATTGTTGCATCTGCAGTAGGGAGGCAAGGGTCATGCCCCTGTGTAAAATGAACCACTTTTAAACCCACTCAGATTGATGCGCTAAGAGGGCTTAGTCAGGCTCCCCTCAACCTCGACTGGAAAGGAAAGTGCAATGAGGGGAAAACTCGTACACAATTTTGTTACTAGGACAAATCAAAGGGAAACACTGAGGTGGAGACTGAAGGAAGGACATTTAGGCATTGCTTGGACACTTAACGAATAATATCAATTTTGTGGCCTGTGCAGTATCCTACCTTGGACTAAATGGAGAACCACAGTTCAGGAATGCTCAGCTAGAATGAGGCCGACCGCGGCTGCTTTCCTCTGGGCACTTCCTTGGCGGCAGCCCCCAGTGAACATGGTGGGACTCCTTTCACAGGCACTGGCTTGTGTGCAAAAGCCAACTGTGGCCCCACTGGATTGTGCAGTAAAGTCAGCCAGCTACAGGATGGCTGCATGGGATCGGCTGCACTCAGCACCATGGAGCTTATTCTGGCCAAACGCATGCATTGCATCACTTCCATTTACACTACTTGGATTCCAACAGTCCCAATACACCTACCATATAGTGGAGAAGATGCTAGAAGGCTACTTTCCCCCTCAGTTTTCAAATGGTCTTGTGAAGGTTTTTACTTTCCAATTGGGGCACCTTGGGCCAGGCACAGACTGGACTCTCAGCCCCACCTACCTCGCAGGGTGGCTGTTGTGGGGATACAACTGAGGACAGCAGGAGGAGAATGATGCAAGCTGCTCTGAGCAGTTTTTAAAAAAGAAAAAAACCAGGGACAGAAATCTATGGAATAAATATATGCTAAATAACAAGGCTGCTCTTCCATCACACAGGAAGCACTATTTTCTATTCTCTGGTCTACAGTGAATAAGTGTGCTTATGCTGCGACTGTGCTAGGCATGTTCACAAGACAGTTTCAGGGAAAGTGAATGGGTCAGAAGAGCCATTCCCTACTCACTTATCCCTACTGCCAACAGCTCTTGACAGCCGTGTAGCCAGCACTGCCGAGAGCCGGGTTGGCAGTCAGTACTGGCAGCCGTGGGGACGCCCGGGGGAGTTGTTCACAGCAATGAACAGGGCATTGCCTAGTTCCTGAAAGCAGCTCCGTGTGCCAACTTTCAGTGGGAACAGGAAGCAAGGGCAACAGGGAAAGGGTGGGGTGTGGAAGGGGCAGAGGCCAGGGGATGGAGCACGGGTGCTGAGGGAGCTGAACCAAGCTAGGGCAAGTGAGGGGCTGGAAAGAAGGGCGGCATAACCCACCCCAGCCGTACAGCCCACTCAAACACAGCCATCTGCTTTATATAGAGCGAGACCATTGATTCATCTAGCTCAGGATGAGCGCGAACAGCTGGGAATGATGGGTGTTGCAGACCTACACATCTGGAGTGCCCCAGGCTGATCTACCCTGACAGAAAGCAGCTCCCCGGTGTTACAGGTGGGACCCATCCCAGCTCTACCTGGGGATGACAGGGATCGACGTGGGACCTTCTACATGCAAAGCCTGTGCTCCACCACAGATCTGCTCCTGCTCCTTTTGTCCCATACTGAAGCACCCCTCCTTCCTCTTGACAGTTACCTCCCTCTGAGCCTGAAGCTCCTCCACAAGCCACAGCTGCCTCCCTTCATTCCCATGGTTTGCAGAAGGAGATCACACTGCTCCCAAATGTTCTCCTGAACAAGAAACTGTGCAAAACAAAGCCAACAAGTTCTCATGGCTGCTCCTTGAAGGCAACCTGGAGACAACGAGTTTGCACAGGTTAGCCAAGAGAGTAATTTAGCAACCAAGCCCTTTGTTGCCAATGTTGGCATAGGAGATGAGAAGATATCCAAAGAGCTAGCATTTAGACTAAGAAAAACAATATTCCCTGTACCCCAGTCGAATTAAAATTCTTGGATTTACTACTCCAAGAATCTTGAACTTCTGTTCCTGTACAGAATTAATGTGCTTAAGTCAAATCCCATGCATAGTTCTATGAAAGTAAATTCTAGTGTTGACTAACATTCTCCATAAACTGTGGCTAGGGATTATAATTTGTCCCGGTCAAGTTTACTTGAGAGTAAATCCCACTGTTCAAGCTGACTTCCACATTGGTTTACAGAGCTGCAAGATCCTTAGACACAGGTCTCACTGCGTTCAATCCCTTAGGCAACAATCTGATGTTCACTTTCTCAAGAGCAAGCTATTTGAGTATAACTATATTGCCTTTTGAGTAAACAGTCAAAGGATCCATTTCATAAAGCACTATATACTTTGCACATGTACCAAAGAAAAGTTCAGTCCATGCCACCAAAAGGTCATAAGGGAGACATTTCATGCTTTATATATACAACACTGGGATGCAATATTTTGAACTCCTGTGTTCCACCACAGCTGGTAAACATAAATGCGAGTCTACAGCATTAAGAAACCACACGTTTCAAAAATAGAAAAGGTTACATTTTTATTTTAGATGCATTTATCTCATGTCATAAATAAAGCCTAATCCTTCGCATGTGTTCATGGAAGAGCCACGCAAGGCTCTCTTTACAAGCCTTTCATCTTCAGAAATCCTGCTACATCCAAATTGTGCCTTTGCCCAAACTGTATTTTATTATTGTTATATTAGGCTCTGCTGTGTTTTAAAACTGCTGCAAATTATACCAGAATATACTTTAAAAAACCCCACTTCTGCTTGCTGGAATGTTTCAACAACCTTTAATGTTGACAAACCCACTTTTCATTCCCTAAAAAGAACATAAACATCCCCAAAATAGCACATAAAGCTGTTTTAGAGTTTTGCTTAATCCAGAGACTATTGCAAA